CGGGAAGAATCTTGATAAGAGTTACTACGGATCGGGAAGAATCTTGGTAAAAAAATCTTGCTAAGAGTTACTAGGGAAAACTTGGCAAGAATCTTGATAACCTTTAGTAACGGAATGTTGGCAAGAATCTTGGTAAGAATTTCCATCGTAAATCTTAAGAAGATTTTTACCAAGATTCCTTTAGCTATTTTTACAAAGATTCCCGGAATAAATCTTACCGAGATTCCGGTGGTTATTCCTACCAAGATTCTTTCCAAGATTCCCGTAGTAATTCTTACCAAGATTTCCTGACTAAAACTTACCAAGATTCTCGTGGTAATTCTTACAAAGATGCGTAAGAAGATTACAGTAGGGATTGTTACCAAGATTCCCTTAGTAATTGTTGCCAGTATTCTTACCAAGATTTCCGAAGTAATTCTTGCCAAGCGTCCCGTAGTAATTCTTACCAAGATTCTCGCCAATATTCCCGTAGCAAATCTTACCAGAATTCTTGCCAAGATGCCTTAATAATTCTTACCAAGATTCTTGCCAAGATTTTCGTAATAAATCTTACTAATATTCGCGTAATAATTAGTGCCAAGAGTTTTGCCAAGATTCCCGTAGTAATTCTCACCAGATATCCTGCGAAGATTCCCGTAGTAATTCTTAAAAGGATTCTTCCCTTTCCTAAAAAAATCCTATGGAATCCTCAAAAATTATAGACAAGGTGCTGTAGCATCTTAGTTAAAAAATATACAAGTGTTTTTTGAGCAGTTTAATAAAAAGAGAAGGTTTAATATAGATCCTAAGGAATCCTTACTAAGTCTGGACAAGATCCTGCAGGATCGTAGATAAGATCCTATGCAATCGTACAAGATCCTACAGGAATTCTATGAAATCCTATTATAAACAAGATCATATGAAAACCTACAGGATCCTACAGTATCCGAGAGAATCGTATAAGATGGTACAGGATCCTTTGGGATGGATATCAAATCTTAGACAAACATGAAAGGACTTTACAGCACTCTGGAAAATTTAAAGATAGTGGAATCATACAAGATCCAAGAGGATCTCACAGGATCCTAGACAAAATCCTATAAAATCGTTATTAATTTTAGTTAAGATCGTATGGGATCTTAGACAAGATTTTTGAACGACTAACGATGCAATCGTACAGGATCCTACAGTATCTTAGAGAATTCTTTAAGATCGTACGGGATCCTATGGCATGGGTATTGGATCTTAGACAAGCATCAGAGGACTCCACAGCACTCTTAAATTTTAAACAACAAGTAACTTTAGACAAGATACTATGGGATCTTGGAGAAGAGTTTGAACGGCTCAACAGCATCTTGTAAATGGTGCCTATGGAATCCTAATAACTCTGGAAAGGATGCTACAGTATCAAAGACAAGTTCATAAGAAATCCTACAGGATCCTAGAGAATTCTATAAGATCGTACAGGATGGTACACAAAATGCTATGGAATCGTCAACAATTCTAGGCAAGATGCCATAGCATGTTAGACAAGAAGCCAAGAATTTTTTTAAGAAATAAACAAGTGCTTATTTGAGGAAGTTAATGTAAAGAGAAGTTTTCAGAAAGATCCTATTGAATCTTTATCAAATCTAAAATCTAAACGGGAAACTTAATACGAATCTTGTCAAGAATTACTAAGGTAATCTTGGCAAAAACTCGGTAAGAATTACTACAGGAATGTTGGTAAGTATCTTGTTAAGAATTACTAAGGGAATCTTGGTAAGAATTGCTACGCAAATCTCGGGAAGAATCTTGGAAAGAGTTACTACGGATACTTGGCAAAAAAAATCTTGGTAAGAGTTTAGGGAAAACTTAGCATGAATCTTGATAACCTTTAGTAAGGGAATGTTTGCAAGAATCTTGGTAAGAATTTCCATCGTAAATCTTAACAAGATTTTCACCAAGATTCCTGTAGCTATTTTTACAAAGATTGCTTGAATAAATCTTACCGAGATTACGGTGGTTATTCCTACCAAGATTCCTTCCAAGATTCCCGTAGTAATTGTCACCAAGATTTCGTGACTAAATCTTACCAAGATTCTCGTGGTAATTCTTACAAAGATGCCTAAGAAGATTACCGTAGGAATTGTTACCAAGATTCCCTTAGTAATTCTTGCAAGTATTTTTACCAAGATTCTAACCAAGATTTCCGAAGTAATTCTTGCCAAGATTCCAGTAGTAATTCTTACCAAGATTCTCGCCAAGACTCCCGTAGCAAATCTTACCAGAATTCTTGCCAAGATGCCTTAGTAATTCTTACCAAGATTCTTGCCAAGATTGTCGTAGTAAATCTTACCAATATTCGCGTAGTAATTCTCACCAGATATCTTGCGAAGATTCCCGTAGTAATTCTTAAAAGGATTCTTCCCTTTCTTGAGAAAATCCTATGGAATCCTCAAAAATTATAGACAAGATGCTGTAGCATCTTAGTTAAGAAATATACAAGTGTCTTGTTGAGCAGTTTAATAAAAAGAGAAGGTTTAATATAGATCCTAAGGAATCCTTACTAAATCTGGACAAGATCCTGTAGGATACTAAATAAGATCCTATGCAATCATTCAATATCCTACAGGAATTCTATGAAATCCTATTATAGACAAGATCATATGAAAACCTACAGGATCCTACAGTATCCGAGAGAACCGTATAAGATGGTACAGGATCCTATGGGATGGATATCAAATCTTAGACAAACATAAAAGGACTCCACAACACTCTGTAAAATTTTAAGAAAGTGGAATCATACAAGATCCAACAGGATCTCGCCCGATACTAGACAAAATTCTATAAATTCGTTATTAATTTTAGTTAAGATCGTATGAGATCTTAGACAAGATTTTTGAACGACTAATGATGCAATCGTACAGGATCCTACAGTATCCTAGAGAATTCTATAAGATCGTACAGGATCCTATGGCATGGGTATGGGATCTTAGGCAAACATCAGAGGACTCCACAGCACTCTTAAATTTTAAACAACAAGTAACTTTCGACAAGATACTATAGGATCTTAGACAAGATTTTCAACGACTCAACAGCATCTTGTAAATCGTGCCTATGGAATACGAATAACTCTGGAAAGCATGCTACAGTATCAAACACAAGATCATTTAAGATCGTACAGGATGCTAAACAAAATCCTATGGAATCCTCAACAATCCTAGACAAGATGCTATAGCATCTTTATTAAGAAATATACAAGTGCTTATTTGAGCAGGTTAATGTAAAGAGAAGCTGGAAGAAAGATGCAATGGAATCTATATTAAATCTGGAGATGATCCTGCGGGTTTATGGACAAGATCCTATGAAAGCGTACAAGATCCTACAGGAATTTTATGGAATCCTTATCAGTTCTGGAAATGATCCTAGAGTATTATAAAGAAGATCATGTCAAATCCTATTGGATCATACAGTATCCTAGAGAATCCTATAAGATTGTACAGGATCCTATTGCTTGGGGATGGGATCTTAGACAAGCGTTAAAGGACTGCACAGGACTGTGTAAAATTTTAAACAGTGGAATCATACAAGATCCTATAGGATGTCATAGGATCCCAGACAAAATCCTACAAAATGGTTAATAATTTTAGTCAAGATGCTATTGGATCTTAGAGGACATTTTGAACGACTCAAGAGCATACTGTCAATCTTGCTTAGGAAATCCTTATCAACCCTGAAAAAGATACTACAGTATTACAGACAAACTCATATGAAATTCTACGGGATCTTAGAGAATTCTATAAGATCGTATAGGATGGTACACAAAATCCTATGGAATCGTCAACAATCTAGGCAAGATGCCATAACATCTTACACAAGAAGCTAAGAATTTATTCAAGAAATAAACAAGTGCTTATTTGAGGAGGTTAATGCAAAGAGAAGGTTTCAGAAAGATAATATTGAATCTTTATCAAATCTAAAGAAGATCGGCCAGGATAATAGAAAAGATCCTATGCAATCGAACAAGATCCTACAGGAATTCTATGGAATCTTAATCAGTTCTGAAAAACATCCTACAGTATTATAGACAGAATCATATAAAATCCTACAAGATCCTTGAGTATTTTAGAGAATCCTTGAGATCGTACAAGATCCTAAACAAAATCCTATGGAATCACCAACAATTCTAGACCAGAAGCTATAGCATCTTAGACAAGAAGAAATTTTTTCCGAAATCTTGGTAAGAAACATGGTAAGAGTTACTACCGGAATTTTGGTAAGAATTATAGCGGGAATCTTGAAAAGAATCCTGGCGAGAATAGCTAAGAAAACCTAAAGAATTCCTAAAGGAATCTTGATAGAAATAACTACGGGAATATTGGTAAGAATCTTGGGAAGAATTACTAAGGGAATCTTGCTAAGAATCTTTGTAAGAATTGCTACGGGAATCTTGGTAAAAATCTTGGTAAGAATTACTACTTGAGTCTCGGCAAGGATCTTGGTAAGATTTATTAAGAGAATCTCAGTAACAATCTTGGTAAGATGTACTAAGGGAGTCTTGGCAAGAATCTTGGTAAGAATTAATACGAAAATCTTAATAAGGGAATCTTGGTAAGAATGTTGTTAAAATTTACTAGGAGAATCTTGGCAAGAAGCTTGGTAAGAATTAATGCGGAAATGTTTGTGAGCATCTTGGTAAGAGTTACTATTGGAATCTTGGCAAGAATCTTGGTAAGAATTACTACTTGAGTCTCGGCAAAGATCTTGGTAAGATTCATTAAGAGAATCTTAGTAACAATCTTGGTAAGATCTACTAAGGGAATCTTGGCAAGAATCCTGGTAAGAATTTAAACGGGATTCTGGGAAAGTCTCGGCAAAGAACTTGGTAAGATTTATTAAGAGAATTTTAGTAACAATCTTGGTAAGATCTACTAAGGGAATCTTGGCAAGAATCTTGGTAAGAATTCAAACGGGATTCTTGGAAAGAATCTTTGTAAGATTTATTCAAAGAGTCTTCCTAGGAGAATCTTGGCAAGAAGCTAGGTAAGAATTACTGCGGAAATCTTTGTAAGAATCTTGGTAAGAGTTACTGCTGGAATCGTGGCAAATATCTTGGTAAGAGTTACTACTGAAAGAATCTTAAATCTTAAATCTTGAATCGTGGTAAGAGTGTTGGCAAGGATTACTAAGAGAGACTTGGCAAGAATCTTTGTAAGAATTACTACCGGAATCGTGGTAACAATCTTGGTAAGAATTATTACGGGAATCTTGGTAAAAATCTTGGTAAGAATTACTACGGGAATCTCAATAAGAATCTTGGCAAGAATTACTCAGGGAAACTTGGCAATAATCTTTGCAAGAAATAGTACGGGAATCTTGGCAAGAATCTTGGCAAGAATTATTACGGAAATCTTGGTAAAAATCCTTGTAAGATTTACTAAGGGAATCTTGGTAAGTATCTTGTTAAGATTTACTTAGGGAATCTTGGGAAGAATCTTGGTAAGAATTACTACGCAGATGTCGGGAAGAATCTTGGTAAGAGTTACTACGGATACTTGGCAAAAATCTTGCTAAGAGTTACTAGGGAAAACTTGGCAAGAATCTTGATAACCTTTAGTAAGGGAATGATGGCAAGAATCTTGGTAAGAATTTCCATCGTAAATCTTAACAAGATTTTAACCAAGATTCTTTTAGCTATTTTTTAAAGATTCCCGGAATAAATCTTACCGAGATTCCGGTGATTATTCCTACCAAGATTCCTTCCAAGATTCCCGTAGTAATTGTTACCAAGATTTCCTGACTAAATCTTACCAAGACTCTCGTGGTAATTCTTGCAAAGATGCGTAAGAAGATTACAGTAGGGATTGTTACCAAGATTCTAGCCAACATCCCCGTAGTAAATCTTACCAGAATTCTTCCCAGAATGCTTTAATAATTCTTACCAAGATTCTTACCAAGATTATCGTAGTAAATCTTACCAATATTCGCGTAATAATTGGTGCCAGGAGTTTTGCCAAGATTCCCGTAGTAATTCTCACCAGAAATCTTGCGTAGATTCCCGTAGTAATTCTTTAAAGGATATTTCCCTTTTAAAAAAAAAAAATCCTATGGAATCCTCAAAAATTATCGACAAGATGCTTTAGCATCTAAGTTAAGAAATATACAAGTGTCTTTTTGAGCAGTTTAATAAACAGAGAAGGTTTAATATAGATCCTAAGGAATCCTTATTAAATCTGGACAAGATCCTGCAGGATACTAGATAAGATCCCTGCAATCGTAAAAGATCCTACAGGAATTCTATAAAATCCGTTTATGGACAAGATCATATAAAAACCTACAGGATCCTACAGTATCCGAGAGAATCGTATAAGATAATACAGGATCCTATGGGATGGGTATCAAATCTTAGACAAACATGAAAGGACTCCACAGCACTCTGTAAAATTTTAACAAAGTGGAATCATACAAGATCCAACAGAATCTCACAGGTTCCTAGATAAAATCCTATAAATTCGTTATTAATTTTAGTTAAGTTCGTATGGGATCTTAGACAATGTTTTGAACGACAAACGATGCAATCATACAGGATCCTACACTATCCTAGAGATTTCTATAAGATCGTACACGATCCTATGGCATGGGTATGGGATCTTAGACAAGCATCAGAGGACTCCACAGCACTCTTAAATTTTAAACAAGTAACTTTAGAAAAGATACTACGGGATCTTAGACAAGATTTTCAACGACTCAACAGCATCTTGTAAATCGTGCCTATGGAATCCGAATAACTCTGAAAAGGATAATACAGTATCAAAGACAAGATCATATGAAATCCAACAGGATCCTAGAGAATCCTATAAGATCGTACAGGATGCTAAACAAAATCCTATGGAATCCTCAACAATCCTAGACAAGATGCTATAGTATCTTAATTAAGAAATATACAAGTGCTTATTTGAGCAGGTTAATGCAAAGAGAAGCTGTAAATAGATGCAATGGAATCTATATTAAATCTGGAGATGATCCTGCGGGTTTATGGACAAGATCCTATGAAAGCGTACAAGATCCTACAGGAATTCTATGGAATCCTTATCAGTTCTGGAAATGATCCTAGAGTATTATAAAGAAGATCATGTCAAATCCTATTGGATCATACAGTATCCTAGAGAATCCTATAAGATTGTACAGGATCCTATTGCTTGGTGATGGGATCTTAGACAAGCGTGAAAGGACTCCACAGGACTATATAAAATTTTAAACAGTGGAATCATACAAGATCCTACAGGATCTCATAGAATCCCAGACAAAATCCTGCAAAATGGTTAATAATTTTAGTCAAGATGCTATTGGATCTTAGAGGACATTTTGAACGACTCAAGAGCATAGTGTCAATCTTGCCTAAGAAATTCTTATCAACCCTGAAAAAGATAATACAGTATTACAGACAAACTCATATGAAATTCTACAGGATCTTAGAGAATTCTATAAGATCGTACAGGATGGTACACAAAATCCTATGGAATCGTCAACAATTCTAGGCAAGATGCCATAGCATCTTAGACAAGAAGCTAAGAATTTATTTAAGAAATAAACAAGTTCTTATTTGAGGAAGTTAATGGAAAGAGGAGGTTTTAAAAAGATCCTATTGAATCTTTATCACATAAAAAATCTAAACGGGAAACTTAATACGAAACTTGACAAGAACTAGTAAGGTAATGCTGGAGGAAGTTAGTGCAAAGAGAAGGTTTCAGAAAGATCCTATTGAATCTATATCAAATCTAAAGAAGATCGTGCAGGGCAATAGAAAAGATCCTATGCAATCGTTCAAAATCCTACAGGAATTCTATGGAATCTTAGCAGTTCTTAATCAGTTCTGAAAAACATCCTTCAATATTATAGACAGAATTATATAAAATCCTACAAGATCCTTGAATATTTTAGAGAATCCTTGAGATCGTACACGATCCTAAACAAAATCCTATGGAATCACCAACAATTCTAGACCAGATGCTATAGCATCTTAAACAAGAAGAAATTATTTTAGAAATCTTGGCTAGAATCTTGGTAAGAGCTACTACGGGAATTCTGGTAGGAATTATAGCGGGAATCTTGAAAAGAATCCTGGCAAGAATAGCTAAGGAAACCTAAAGAATTACTAAAGGAATCTTGGTAGATATAACTACAGGAATCTTGATAAGAATCTTGTTAAGATTTACTAAGGGATTCTTGGGAAGAATCTTAGTAAGATTTACTACCGAGATCTTGGCAAGATCTTGGTAAGAATTACTAGAGGAATCTTGGTAAAAATCTTAATAACATTTACTACGGGAAACTTGGCGAGAATCTTGGTAAGAATTACTACTTGAGTCTCGGCAAGGATCTTGGTAAGATTTATTAAGGGAATCTTAGTAACAATCTTGGTAAGATTTACTAAGGTAATCTTGGCAAGAATCTTGGTAAGAATTAAAACGGGAATCTTGGAAAGAATCTTTGTAAGATTTATTCAGGGAGTCTTGGCAACAATCTTGGTAAGATTTACTACGACATTCTTGGTTAGAATATTGGTAAGAATTAATACGAAAATCTTCATAAGGGAATCTTGGTAAGAATGTTGTTAAAATTTAGAAGCTTGGTAAGAATTACAGCCGAAAAATCTTTGTAAGAATCTTGGTAAGAGTTGCTACTGCAATCTTGGCAAGAATCTTGGTAAGAATTACTACTTGAGTCTCGGCAAGGATCTTGGTAAGATTTATTAAGAGAATCTTAGTAACAATCTTGGTACGATTTAGTAAGGGAATCTTGGCAAGATTCTTGGTAAGAGTTACTACTGGGATCCTGGCAAGAATCTTGGTAAGAGTTACTACTGAGAAAAACTGATATCTTAAATCTTGAATCATGGTAAGAGCGTTGACAAGGATTACTAAGGCAGACTTCGCAAGAATCTTTGTAAGAATTACTACTGGAATCGTGGTAACAATCTTGGCAAGAATTGCTACTGGAATCTTAGTATGAATCTTGGTAAGAATTACTACAGGAATCTTGGTAAGAATCTTGGTAACAATTAGTACGGGAATCTTGGCACGAATCTTGGTAAGAATTACTACGGGAATGTTGGTACGAATCTTGCCAAGAATTACTGAGGGAATCTTGGCAATAATCTTTCAAAGAAATACTACGGAACTCTTGGCGAGAATTTCAGCAAAAATTACTACTTGAGTCTCGGGAAGGATCTTGGTAAGATTTATTAAGAGAATCTTAGTAACACTCTTGGTAACATTTACTAAGGGAATCTTGGTAAGAATCTTTGTAAGAATTGCTGCGGGAATGTTGGTAAAAATAATAGTAATAATTACAACGTGAATATTAATAAGATTTACTAAGGGAATATTGACAAGATTCGGATTAATTCTTGTGGGAATCTTGGTAAGAATCTTGGCAAGAATCTTGGTAAGAATTACCACAGGAATCTTGGCAAGAATCTAGGTAAGAATTACTATTTAACTCTTGGCAAGGATCTTGGTAAGATTTATTAAGAGAATCTTAGTAACAATCTTGGTAAGATTTACTAAAGGAATCTTGGCAAGAATCTTGGTAAGAATAAAAACGGAGATTTTGGAAGGAATCTTTGTAAGATTTATTAAAAGAGTCTAGCTAGGAGAATCTTGGCAAGAAGCTTGGTAAGAATTACTGCGAAAATCTTTGTAAGAATCTTGGTAAGAGTTACTACTGGGATCTTGGCAAGAATGTTGGTAAGAGTTACTACTGAAAGAATCTTAAATCTTAAATCTTGAATCGAGGTAAGAGTGTTGGCAAGGATTACTAAGAGAGAATTGGCAAGAATCTTTGTAAGAATTACTACCGGAATCGTGGTAACAATGTTGGCAAGAATTGCTACTGGAATCTTAGTGTAAATCTTGGTAAGAATTACTACAGGAATCTTAATAAGATCTTGTTAAGATTTACTAAGGGAATTTGGGTAAGAATCTTGTTAACATTTATTACGGGAATCTTGGTAACAATCTTTGTAAGATTTACTAAGGAAATCTTCGCAAGAATTACTAGCGGAAAGTTGGCAAGATTCTTGGTAAGAACTACTCCTGGAATGTTTTTAAGAATCTTGGCAAGAATTACTACAAAACTCTTGGTAGGGATCTTAATAAGATTTACTACGCGAATATTGATAGAAAACCTTGCAAGAATCTTGGTAAGAATTACTACGGGAATCTTGGCAAGAATCTTGGTAAGAATTACTACTGGAATGTTGCTAAGAATATTGGTAAGAATTACTAAGGGAATCTTGGCAATAAACTTTGCAAGAAATACTACGGGAATCTTGGGAAGAATCTTGGCAAGAAATATTACGGAAATCTTGGTTAAAATCCTGGTGAGTTTTACTAAGGGAATCTTGGTAAGTATCTTGTTAAGATTTACTAAGGGAATCTTGGGAAGAATCTTGGTAAAAAATCTTGGTAGGAGTTACTACGGATACTTGGCAAAAATTCTTGTAAGAACTACTACGGGAATCTTGGCAAGAATCTTGGGAAGAATTACGACGGGAATGTTAGTAAGAATCTTGGCAAGAATTACTAACGGAATCTTGGCAAAAATTTTTGAAAGAAATACTACGGGAAGCTTGGCAAGAATGATTACGGAAATCTTGGTAAAAATCCTGGTAAGATTTACTAAGGGAATCTTGGTAAGTATCTTGTTAAGATTTACTAAGGGAATCTTGGGAAGAATCTTGGTAAGAATTACTACGCAAATCTCGGGAAGAATCTTAGTAAGAGTTACTACGGATACTTGGCAAAAATCTTGGTAAGAGTTACTACGGATACTTGGCAAAAATTCTGCTAAGAATTACTACGGGAATCTTGGCAAGAATCTTGGTAAGAATTACTACGGAAATGTTGGTAAGAATCTTGGGAAGAGTTACTACCCAAATCTCGGGAAGAATCGGGGTAAGAGTTATTACGGATACTCGGCAAAAATCTTGGTAAGAGTTACTACGGATACTTGGCAAAAATTCTGGTAAGAATTACTACGGGAATCTTGGCAAGAATCTTGGTAAGAATTACTACGGGAATGTTGGTAAGAATCTTGGGAAGAGTTACTACCCAAATCTCGGGAAGAATCTTGGTAAGAGTTATTACGGATACTTGGCAAAAATCTTGGTAAGAGTTACTACGGATACTTGGCAAAAATTCTGGTAAGAATTACTACGGGAATCTTGGCAAGAATCTTGGTAAGAATTACTACGGGAATGTTGGTAAGAATCTTGGCAAGAATTACTAACGGAATCTTGGCAATAATTTTTGAAAGAAATACTACGGGAAGCTTGGCAAGAATGATTACGGAAATCTTGGTAAACATCCTGGTAAGATTTACTTAGGGAATCTTGGGAAGAATCTTGGTAAGAATTACTACGCAGATGTCGGGAAGAATCTTGGTAAGAGTTACTACGGATACTTGGCAAAAATCTTGCTAAGAGTTACTAGGGAAAACTTGGCAAGAATCTTGATAACCTTTAGTAACGGAATGTTGGCAAGAATCTTGGTAAGAATTTCCATCGTAAATCTTAACAAGATTTTTACCAAGATTCCTTTAGCTATTTTTACAAAGATTCCCGGAATAAATCTTACCAAGATTCCGGTGGTTATTCCTACCAAGATTCTTTCCAAGATTCCCGTAGTAATTCTTACCAAGATTTCCTGACGAAAACTTACCAAGATTCTCGTGGTAATTCTTACAAAGATGCGTAAGAAGATTACTGTAGGGATTGTTACCAAGATTCTCTTAGTAATTGTTGCCAGTATTCTTACCAAGATTTCCGAAGTAATTCTTACCAAGCGTCCCGTAGTAATTCTTACCATGATTCTCGCCAATATTCCCGTAGCAAATCTTACCAGAATTCTTGCCAAGATGCCTTAATAATTCTTACCTAGATTCTTGCCAAGATTTTCGTAATAAATCTTACTAATATTCGCGTAGTAATTAGTGCCAAGAGTTTTGCCAAGATTCCCATAGTAATTCTCACCAGATATCTTGCGAAGATTCCCGTAGTAATTCTTAAAAGGATTCTTCCCTTTCCTTAAAAAAATCCTATGGAATCCTCAAAAATTATAGACAAGGTGCTGTAGCATCTTAGTTAAAAAATATACAAGTGTTTTTTTGAGCAGTTTAATAAAAAGAGAAGGTTTAATATAGATCCTAAGAAATCCTTACTAAATCTGGACAAGATCCTGCAGGATCGTAGATAAGATCCTATGCAATCGTACAAGATCCTACAGGAATTCTATGAAATCCTATTATAAACAAGATCATATGAAAACCTACAGGATCCTACAGTATCCGAGAGAATCGTATAAGATGGTACAGGATCCTTTGGGATGGATATCAAATCTTAGACAAACATGAAAGGACTTTACAGCACTCTGGAAAATTTAAAGATAGTGGAATCATACAAGATCCAAGAGGATCTCACAGGATCCTTGACAAAATCCTATAAAATCGTTATTAATTTTAGTTAAGATCGTATGGGATCTTAGACAAGATTTTTGAACGACTAACGATGCAATCGTACAGGATCCTACAGTATCTTAGAGAATTCTTTAAGATCGTACGGGATCCTATGGCATGGGTATTGGATCTTAGACAAGCATCAGAGGACTCCACAGCACTCTTAAATTTTAAACAACAAGTAACTTTAGACAAGATACTATGGGATCTTGGAGAAGAGTTTGAACGGCTCAACAGCATCTTGTAAATGGTGCCTATGGAATCCTAATAACTCTGGAAAGGATGCTACAGTATCAAAGACAAGTTCATAAGAAATCCTACAGGATCCAAGAGAATTCTATAAGATCGTACAGGATGGTACACAAGATGCTATGGAATCGTCAACAATTCTAGGCAAGATGCCATAGCATGTTAGACAAGAAGCCAAGAATTTTTTTAAGAAATAAACAAGTGCTTATTTGAGGAAGGTAATGTAAAGAGAAGTTTTCAGAAAGATCCTATTGAATCTTTATCAAATCTAAAATCTAAACGGGAAACTTAATACGAATATTGTCAAGAATTACTAAGGTAATCTTGGCAAAAAACTCGGTAAGAATTACTACAGGAATGTTGGTAAGTATCTTGTTAAGAATTACTAAGGGAATCTTGGTAAGAATTCCTACGCAAATCTCGGGAAGAATCTTGGAAAGAGTTACTACGGATACTTGGCAAAAAATCTTGGTAAGAGTTTAGGGAAAACTTAGCATGAATCTTGATAACCTTTAGTAAGGGAATGTTTGCAAGAATCTTGGTAAGAATTTCCATCGTAAATCTTAACAAGATTTTCACCAAGATTCCTGTAGCTATTTTTACAAAGATTGCTTGAATAAATCTTACCGAGATTACGGTGGTTATTCCTACCAAGATTCCTTCCAAGATTCCCGTAGTAATTGTCACCAAGATTTCGTGACTAAATCTTACCAAGATTCCCGTGGTAATTCTTACAAA